TTGGTGATCAGCTCGGTGACGCTGGGGCCCGCGGGCTTGCGGGCTTTGGCGCCGCCCGCCGCCTTCTTCGGCTTCTTGGCGGGGGCCGCCTTGGCCGGGGTCGGAGCGGCGGCGACATCGGGCGCAGCAACAGGAGCGGTCTCGGCCATGGCGCCTCCTGCGGAGCTCCACGAACAATGGCGCGGCCGCCGCCGCCGCCCCCTTTATAGCAGCGCCGCGCGTGCTGATTGGCTGGCCCCGCCGACCGCCGCCGCTCCGGTTGTGTTTCTTGTCGGTCCAAAAAGCTCTTTTTCCTTCAGAAATTGACCGTCCGCGCGCCCAGTTCCTTACTGGGACGTGAGGGGACGTGGGTGCCGCAAGCTGGAAGAGTTACCCGTTAGAATGAGGAGAAATAAGGGAAAGAGATCCGAGAAACTCCGCTGAGTGGAGCCGTGGTGACCCTGGAACAGGGAAACATTCTATTTATCTTCTAAATTAAAAGTATCCCTTTGGATAAATCCACACAGCCGGCATGAAACCGTGTACTTCAGAAGCTCCTCTCCTGATTAGGGCAAATACCGCAGTGGCTTCAGTGTCTGATCTCAGCTTAAATGCGTTTGAAAGCTGAGCAAGTAACACAACCCAGCCCCACGGCACGGGCTCGGCTCCCGCTCCCCTTTGTGAACACAGCGTCCCACTCGGCGCCCTCTCGGCCCGCCGCTGCTCTCCCGGTGTCGGCAAGCAGAGGTGGGCACCCTGGCAGAGGGGTGAAAGCCGACGTCTCTTTACATCTGCTTTAGTATTGTACGGGAGCAAAGCACCAACCCTGAGGGCGGATGAGCCTGTTAGAGCACTGCCAATGCATCCTGAAAGGCTTGCTTTGTCAGGAGACCCGTGAGCTACCATTGTAGTACACCGTCTTTTGATCTTAAAACCCAGACGTCTTTGTATCGCGATTTATTAAAATTCGTTGTGAAAATAGAATCTGGGACGTAATGAAACTCACACCATTTCAAGAGCTTCCCTTCCCCAGGTAGATCCATATTAAATAAAAACCGATTAATTCTCAGTTTCCACCTTCAAATTCTCCCCTCCCTTTTCAATAGCATTCTGCTTTCTTTTTTCAGTGTGAACCACTGACAGGCACGTCTGTGATAACATTGTTGCACACAATGGATACAAGGCCATCATTAGTTGCTCATGCTGGTGAAGCAGATACATTCCGGGCTCCAAGAAACTGAAACAGAGTGAAGTGAATGAGGTCACAACTCAGCGTCACAGCAGCCTGAGTAAACAGATGCACAGCTGTCTTTGAGAAATTTCACACTCTTTTAGCTGAAAATGTCCATCTCTGAGAAATAACAGGAACTACATCTCTACAGCATGTCCTGGTAAATGAGAGATGGGAATATCAAATGACCTCTGTGAATCATTTTAAATGAGTTTTTCTTACGGTCACTCACGAGTCAAGAAGCAAAAGCTCTACATCAAACTGTGGATCTGAATTATTCCAGTGATTTTACATTGTTAATTTTTATTCTCTGGAGGTTAAACGAGGAAAGAAATACAGGGCTGAGTGAGATACCCCAGAGAGTGCACTTTGGCCTGCAAGATGAAGGTAACTGTGTTTCGGCTGCGATAACAAGCATGACAGAAATGTTAATGTAAGGTTGCAGGATTGCCTATTGTGTGAAAACAAAAATTGGAAAGCATTTTTTATTCTGATTTTGCCTGATGCTTATTTCTTAAAGTGCGGAGAGTTGAGGCCCTTAGTGATGAGACTGGAGACTGACTCAGAAGTGCTGACAGTGAGGAGAAGGTTAGTTGTAAACTAGTAATGGAGACCCTGAGGCCTGAATTAGGGACACCATGCAGAACACTGTAAAGCAATGAGAAGTTGGAGGGAGGAGGAGCTGCTACCTGGGAGTTCAATCCAGTCTGTCTATCCATCAGGAGTTGAGAGCTTGCACTGCTGATGGGGGACTGATCAGCAGGCAGTCCTGCTGTTATTGTGCATCAGTCAGCAGGTGGTGAGTGACTGCATTTATAAATCCATTTTTGTTTCCAGATTTCTCTTCTTGGTAAATAACTTTGACCTCACCCTGCGAGTCCTATTTTATTACTAATTCTCTTTCTCATTCTACTTGGGAGGGACTGAGAGGAGTGAATGAAAGGCTATGTGGTAGCTGCCTTCCAGGTTAAACCACAACAGCTAGTATATTGTATGTAATAATTTCCTGTTTTTCAGCATAATCACCACCATCAGCTACCATCACCATACATTTCCACCAGTGTTAAACAAGAGCCTGTATGCCATGCCCACAAAAATCTGTACCAGTGGAGGTGACCCACTGTTGCTGCTGTCATCTGTCCTTTTGCTGTCACCTGTCACATGCAACAAAATGTAATGGAATAATGGTGGGGAGGTTCGTCTTCTACTGTCATATCACCATCTCTGTCTCTGACATCACAGACCAGCATCATGAAACAGGAAGCATTACTTTGAGAGCAGCCATCACACATCTCATGTCCTCCCAGGGACAACAGCATCAAGGTTTTGTAGCTTTACAGTGCATTGGCATTTTTATGTATCTGCTTCTTCCCTCTTTCTTTCTCTATTTCTTTCAAACTTCTTACACTAAATGGCATTTTTTCTGTCAATTCCCTGGACTCGTACAGCAAGGAAAATTAGATTCACATTCTGCCTTATACGTCACACAAGCAGAGGAAAGGTATAATTGCACATGGATTCCTGGGATTGGAAATGGGATATTCATTTGTTACTTTTATTATCATTACATTTTCTACACTTACTTAGAAACTGGAACATATTTACAGTTTTGAGTAGGAGGTCTCAAAACCATCAGTGCTTCATATAATGTTTTTTTTTACATATGAGATTATGCCCATCCACTGTGTTAGGAGCTTATGATAAGAGAAGATGGCTGGGTACATAAGGCTCCAGTTCTCACTGGAGAAAACATTATGAGCTCTTCTACAAATTAGGTTAAATTAAAGGAAAAGAACAAGAAGAAGAAGAGGAGGAAAAAAAGATAGGTGCTGAGTGTTATAGAAATCCTTGGATCATTTATTTTTCCCTTTGGCTCTTTACTCAATTACATTTTGCACTGGAACATTCAGGCATAGTATGCTACAGCTATCCAAGTATTCCAAGCATATTTTAATTTCCCAGCCACTGTAGGTTGCAGTTTAAAATTTCAGGCATTGTAGAATATATTACAAAGCAAAGAACTTATGTATTAGCATAAGAACTTAGGATAGCTACAGTACGAAGGCTTCCCCAGGCTTTGATCTTCCACTATTTCAACTGGCAGATGTTGTATTTGACATGATAATTCCATTTTCCTTCCCTTCCCATGTAGAATAAAGAAGTGTCAATGGAAATTCTGAAATAATTCGTGAAATTATTATTACTTTCCTTCCAGGAGCAAGACCTTTTGATAAAGGTCTAATGGCTGCAGCTGAAGCTTGCTCTGTAACACAAGAGTGGAAATGAAAAGAAGGAACAACATATGTTTAACCCACAGTATATGTCTAAGAATAGGTGTAAGTTAGAAATAATCATTTTCCAGTTCTCAGTTTTGGAGTGAGAAAGAGCACTTTTCTAAATATCAGATTAGAACTCCATCCAAAAGTGTAAGGTTAGGGCATTTCCCTTTCAAAACTCCAGTTATGATGCAAGAAGACAAGTTACAATGCTGAAGGAAGCCGAGTACACTTAGGAAACTCCTTAATGTGCTTTGAAATGCCTTTTCTTTTTCTAGAAATGGCAAAAATAGTATATGGAATTCCCCAGCACAAATGATACCAGTAAACCCAATACCTAATATGGTAAAATTGGCCAAAATTCTACTGCCTACTTCAGCCCACACTGTTAAGATGCTTAGCAATCAGGAGAGCTTCCATCCTGACTTAATAGCTTGGAATACATGAGTTAACTCCCAAGATTTAGGGAAGGGTGCGTACCAGCAATTTCAAGTAGATACCTTGTTTTCTAAAGCTCCATTTATTTGAAAGAGTTCTGGGCCATAAAAAGGCTCAAAGGAAAAGCCAGTCTTTTTGTAATCTTTTTTGCCTTTGTTGCCACTGGGGTTACATTCTGACATTCATTTTGCAGCTGACAACCACATTTCATGTCTTGGACAGCAGACCCCGCTGTTGAAGTGTACAGAGATCAAATTTGTGCATGCAAGTTATAAATCATAACTTCAACTCTATCTAAAACTATTTGTGCACAAATTCACTGCAGAGAAAAATAAACCACAAGTCTATACAGTAAAAACTGTTTTATGTTTATTGTTTAAAAAGGAAAGAAGCTAAGAAGAATATTGTGTAAACAAGTGAAATTGGAGATAGCCTAAGAAGCAGAGGAGAAATCACTAAGCAAATCTACAAGAAGTACATTCAGAATTCACAGACATTTAAAAGCACGCATACGGTATTTGAGCCTTTAAAAAATCTATTGTTAAAAATTACTGGCTACGATTTATGCAATTTATCATTTATTCTTAGATATTTGGTTGTTTGCAAGGGACTGGGGACATACGCAGGCATAACGGCATTAAAAAAAAGAAAAAGAAAAAAAAAAAAAAAAAAAAAAAGAAGAGAAGAAAGTCATGCTGTTCCTAGGGATCAGTAAATTAAATGTGTATCAGGCTCTACATATACTGTATTGACAACTTCAGTTTGTATACACTGTGCCCACCATCAAAAAAGCAACACATGAACAGATTAAAGACTTGGTGCTATTCTAAAAGGAAAAACCAATTAAAGAAGATTCCCAATGGTTTGGCATCATTTTCAGGAAAAAAATCCTCACCTAGGAACTACAACGTAAATTACACACAACTATCGATACAGGAACGCTGAAAATATTGGGACTCATGGAAAGCTGTCAAGAGAGTAACGAAAAGCAATAGAAAAATAAAGTGAAATAGATTCGTCAGGTAGTGTACTCTACACAGGAGAAAAAAATAAAATAAAATAAAATAAAGGAATGAGAAAAACAGAATGCAATGAGCAACGTGAAACGCACTGCAGAAGGGAAAAAAAAAAAAAGAGGCCAGGCGGAGGCCCCGCCCGCCGGGGAGGAGGACGCGGTTGGCGCTCCCGCCCCCGCCTGGGGCCGCGCCCCTGTTCTCAATCAGGTCCGACTCCACACCATAACACACAGGCGCGCCGCGCCCGCTCCTCACTGGTGTCGGAAGGCTCGCGGTCGCAGCATGTCCGGCAGAGGCAAGGGCGGGAAGGGGCTCGGCAAGGGGGGCGCCAAGCGCCACCGCAAGGTGCTGCGCGACAACATCCAGGGCATCACCAAGCCGGCCATCCGCCGCCTGGCGCGGCGCGGCGGCGTCAAGCGCATCTCGGGGCTCATCTACGAGGAGACGCGCGGCGTGCTCAAGGTCTTCCTGGAGAACGTCATCCGCGACGCCGTCACCTACACCGAGCACGCCAAGAGGAAGACGGTCACGGCCATGGACGTGGTCTACGCGCTTAAGCGCCAGGGACGCACCCTCTACGGCTTCGGCGGTTAAACTCGTCTCCGATTTCGGCAGCCCAAACACGCTTTCAGCAACCCAAAGGCTCTTTTCAGAGCCGCCCACTTGGTTCCAACAAAGAGCTGTGTCACCTTGCCTAATGTGCCGCCAATTTTTTTGTTTAATAGTTTCGCTCTTTTTCCTTCGCGTTTCCCAGCTGCATTCTCAGCTCTTCGCTTTCTGTGTCCGGACCGCAGAGCTGCGTAGCTCTGCTGTCCAGCGCAGGATTAGGGTTAGTCGCGGCGTCCTTCCGTCCCCCTGGCAAGCTGCTCCACTGCCTTGGCTTCCCCGCAGGCAGGCGCTCGCCGGGCAGCGTTCGGGCTGCTCCTCGCTTCAGGGCGCGCTATTGACTTCTGAGCTCGTTGCTAGCGACCGGATCAGACGCGTGCTGGGGTGCCAAGGGCGAAGCCAACGCCTCCCTTCGGCGCCGCGCCCGAAAAGGCAGAGAGAAAAGAGAAGCAGAAGCGGGTTCGGCCCTGACAGGAACCTGTCCGGGATTTGGGGGAGGGGTAAAGAGGCAAAAGGCGCCTATTCCGCTTCCTGCCGCCCGTCCACAGGGGCCGCGGACGCAGGGCTCGCGGCACGGGGCGGAGACCAACGGCCGCGCGTTGGCCGCCCCTTTCTCCCTAAACGTTTCTCCCGCCCTTACGAAAAGCGCGAGCGGGGCCTCCCGCAGCGGCTGCCGCTCGGGAGCGGGACGGAGAGCGACTTCAGCGCAGCGCTTGGGGTTGCGGTAGGGACACGGCAGCGTCGCCGAGGAGAAAACTCGGGGCTCCCCGACCGCACCGCATCTCTCCGCCGGAACTGCGTGGCCCGCACGGACAGAAAACCCCCCAGCCAGCGCCGGGAACACCCCGGAGCCACCCGCGCCAACACACCACACAAGCACTCATCGAGTCGTGGCATTCCGAGCTCTTTCTCGAGACTGTGGGTGGCTCTGAAAAGAGCCTTTGGGTTTCACTTCGCTGCTTTGCGCGTTTCCGCGGGGCCAGCTCACTTGGCCTTAGCCTTGTGGCTGTCGGTCTTCTTGGGCAGCAGCACGGCCTGGATGTTGGGCAGCACCCCACCCTGCGCGATGGTGACCTTGCCCAGCAGCTTGTTGAGCTCCTCGTCGTTGCGGATGGCCAGCTGCAGGTGGCGGGGGATGATGCGCGTCTTCTTGTTGTCGCGGGCCGCGTTGCCCGCCAGCTCCAGGATCTCGGCCGTCAGGTACTCCAGCACGGCCGCCAGGTACACCGGGGCGCCGGCGCCCACCCGCTCCGCGTAGTTGCCCTTGCGCAGCAGCCGGTGCACGCGGCCCACGGGGAACTGCAGCCCGGCCCGCGACGAGCGCGACTTGGCCTTGGCGCGCGCCTTCCCGCCCTGCTTCCCGCGGCCCGACATCGTCGATCAGTCGCTCAGACGCTCAACTACAAACTTCGCAGGAAATCAAAACACGCAACGACTGCCCGCGCTCCCCCGTGCGCCTTTATATCCCTTCCCATTGCGCGGCCGCCGGCTCCTGATAGGCGGAGCTGTCCTCACGGGGACCGAGCGGCCAATGGCGTAACGAATCTCGGCCCGACCAATACCGACGAGCGCTTTTCCCCGCCCCGCCCCCGCGCTCTTCAGATAGCCAATGGCTGGGCCGAGGGGGCGGGAGCAGGTGGCGTTGTCCCTCTGGAGGCACGTATGGGGCAGCCTCTCAAAGCGTTTGTGGCTGCGCCGGACCTTCTTCGTGCCTCCCTTCTGTCTGTTTTGTTGTCTTGTGAAACAGCACTGCAGCTGCTGAAGGCCTGAGGACGGGAGAGTCGGAGGGAGAGTGAAATAAAAGGGGAGGATGGGCGTTTGTGTCAGAGAGAGCAGAGGAGTCTGACAATTGGGACAGCCCCTCCATGGATTAACCGTTCCTGGTAACCTTCCTGGAAGAAAATATCGCAGCACTACTTCCATGCCTGAATGAATTACTCGAAATTAAAAACTAAAGCAGGTGCCTCTCTGCTAATGGCTCTATATACATACTAACTACATTGACCAGCCTTCTGTTCTTTGCTTGCATATAAACACCTCAGATTGACATGCTTCATGGTATAAAATTGTGTCTATTCCAGTTACATTGCAGTGTTACAGCTCCTTTTGTTGTAGATGGAGTGGCTCTTAAAAGAGCCTTTGGGTTCTTTAAAGTACATGTTTAAAAGCAACTTTCGAGGCTTATTTCTCTTTATGCCCTTTCCCCGCGGATGCGCCGGGCGAGCTGGATGTCCTTGGGCATGATGGTGACGCGCTTGGCATGGATGGCGCACAGGTTGGTGTCCTCGAAGAGCCCCACCAGGTAAGCCTCGCTCGCCTCCTGCAGCGCCATGACGGCCGAGCTCTGGAAGCGCAGGTCGGTCTTGAAGTCCTGCGCGATCTCGCGCACCAGGCGCTGGAAGGGCAGCTTGCGGATCAGCAGCTCCGTGGACTTCTGGTAGCGGCGGATCTCGCGCAGCGCCACCGTGCCGGGCCGGTAGCGGTGCGGCTTCTTCACGCCGCCCGTGGCCGGCGCGCTCTTGCGGGCCGCCTTGGTGGCCAGCTGCTTGCGGGGCGCCTTGCCGCCCGTCGACTTACGCGCCGTCTGCTTCGTGCGCGCCATCGCCAAAGAGCAGCACTAAGTTAAACGCTATACCACAAAATAAGCGCGGCTGTGCACAGTGGGGCCATTTATAGCAGCACCGCTCGTGCTGATTGGCCGAAACAAACCTGCTGAATCTCATTGGTCAATTCGAAGTTTAAAATAACCGCCCTTAGGGCGTACCGGCAACTACTGTTGCCTTTGTTCTCTCATTGCAGTGACTCATCAAGCACACAGGAACTTCTATATTTTTTATTTTTTTTAAGGCAAAGATTTATTTTCGCGTACCTTGAAAGCATTCATGCTTATTCAGAAGAAAGACAATAAGCAGTGAACAATGCATTATATAGTGAAGGCAGTAGTGAGAGAAAAAAATGATAAAACTAAGTTTTCTTAAGGAAGAATACTTAAAATACGTTTCAATTCTGCTTTTATGCTGGATTGCAAGGAATACATTAACTCAGGGAATGTGGATCATTAGGCTTTTTGTAACTACTGTGGTATTCTTTAAGATGTGCTGTTCAGAAAGGAGAGGTTGGGGGCCTCTTAAAAAATACTGAAAAAGGGGTGACCTTATAATGCGACCATTCAGCAATCGCGTAAAGCTCCCCGGTGGGGAAAATCCCGGGGTGCTTTATGGGGGCCCTGTGAGGGGAGATGATTACTACAGAAATTCCATGCCCTTGGAGACATAAGCGTGCGTGTATCCCTCTCTACCGACAAATCGCTCAAACTTCGAAGTATGCCTTTCCTTCAGCCACTGTTTCCCTCAGCATGCAACACAAGAGCAGAGGGGAAGAACAAAATTAAAAAAACAAAAAAAAACAAAAAAAAACAAAAAAAAAAAAAAAGAGAAAAAAGGACCGGTTCAGACCCCGCGGATGGGACCGGGACGTGGACTGCCGCTGAGCTCGCACCGCTACTGACGGGACCTGCCGGAGATCCCGCCCAGCCATTGGCTATCTGAAGAGCGCGGGGGCGGGGCGGGGAAAAGCGCTCGTCGGTATTGGTCGGGCCGAGATTCGTTACGCCATTGGCCGCTCGGTCCCCGTGAGGACAGCTCCGCCTATCAGGAGCCGGCGGCCGCGCAATGGGAAGGGATATAAAGGCGCACGGGGGAGCGCGGGCAGTCGTTGCGTGTTTTGATTTCCTGCGAAGTTTGTAGTTGAGCGTCTGAGCGACTGATCGACGATGTCGGGCCGCGGGAAGCAGGGCGGGAAGGCGCGCGCCAAGGCCAAGTCGCGCTCGTCGCGGGCCGGGCTGCAGTTCCCCGTGGGCCGCGTGCACCGGCTGCTGCGCAAGGGCAACTACGCGGAGCGGGTGGGCGCCGGCGCCCCGGTGTACCTGGCGGCCGTGCTGGAGTACCTGACGGCCGAGATCCTGGAGCTGGCGGGCAACGCGGCCCGCGACAACAAGAAGACGCGCATCATCCCCCGCCACCTGCAGCTGGCCATCCGCAACGACGAGGAGCTCAACAAGCTGCTGGGCAAGGTCACCATCGCGCAGGGTGGGGTGCTGCCCAACATCCAGGCCGTGCTGCTGCCCAAGAAGACCGACAGCCACAAGGCTAAGGCCAAGTGAGCTGGCCCCGCGGAAACGCGCAAAGCAGCGAAGTGAAACCCAAAGGCTCTTTTCAGAGCCACCCACAGTCTCGAGAAAGAGCTCGGAATGCCACGACTCGATGAGTGCTTGTGTGGTGTGTTGGCGCGGGTGGCTCCGGGGTGTTCCCGGCGCTGGCTGGGGGGTTTTCTGTCCGTGCGGGCCACGCAGTTCCGGCGGAGAGATGCGGTGCGGTCGGGGAGCCCCGAGTTTTCTCCTCGGCGACGCTGCCGTGTCCCTACCGCAACCCCAAGCGCTGCGCTGAAGTCGCTCTCCGTCCCGCTCCCGAGCGGCAGCCGCTGCGGGAGGCCCCGCTCGCGCTTTTCGTAAGGGCGGGAGAAACGTTTAGGGAGAAAGGGGCGGCCAACGCGCGGCCGTTGGTCTCCGCCCCGTGCCGCGAGCCCTGCGTCCGCGGCCCCTGTGGACGGGCGGCAGGAAGCGGAATAGGCGCCTTTTGCCTCTTTACCCCTCCCCCAAATCCCGGACAGGTTCCTGTCAGGGCCGAACCCGCTTCTGCTTCTCTTTTCTCTCTGCCTTTTCGGGCGCGGCGCCGAAGGGAGGCGTTGGCTTCGCCCTTGGCACCCCAGCACGCGTCTGATCCGGTCGCTAGCAACGAGCTCAGAAGTCAATAGCGCGCCCTGAAGCGAGGAGCAGCCCGAACGCTGCCCGGTGAGCGCCTGCCTGCGGGGAAGCCAAGGCAGTGGAGCAGCTTGCCAGGGGGACGGAAGGACGCCGCGACTAACCCTAATCCTGCGCTGGACAGCAGAGCTACGCAGCTCTGCGGTCCGGACACAGAAAGCGAAGAGCTGAGAATGCAGCTGGGAAACGCGAAGGAAAAAGAGCGAAACTATTAAACAAAAAAATTGGCGGCACATTAGGCAAGGTGACACAGCTCTTTGTTGGAACCAAGTGGGCGGCTCTGAAAAGAGCCTTTGGGTTGCTGAAAGCGTGTTTGGGTTGCCGAAATCGGAGACGAGTTTAACCGCCGAAGCCGTAGAGGGTGCGTCCCTGGCGCTTGAGCGCGTAGACCACGTCCATGGCCGTGACCGTCTTCCTCTTGGCGTGCTCGGTGTAGGTGACGGCGTCGCGGATGACGTTCTCCAGGAAGACCTTGAGCACGCCGCGCGTCTCCTCGTAGATGAGCCCCGAGATGCGCTTGACGCCGCCGCGCCGCGCCAGGCGGCGGATGGCCGGCTTGGTGATGCCCTGGATGTTGTCGCGCAGCACCTTGCGGTGGCGCTTGGCGCCCCCCTTGCCGAGCCCCTTCCCGCCCTTGCCTCTGCCGGACATGCTGCGACCGCGAGCCTTCCGACACCAGTGAGGAGCGGGCGCGGCGCGCCTGTGTGTTATGGTGTGGAGTCGGACCTGATTGAGAACAGGGGCGCGGCCCCAGGCGGGGGCGGGAGCGCCAACCGCGTCCTCCTCCCCGGCGGGCGGGGCCTTCGGCTTTGTCGCTCTCTGACCCCGCCCCAGGGCCTCAGCCTCGTTCGCCCGCTCCGTCCCACCTCCTCCCTTAACTTCCCTTTCCTAGCATCTTCCGCTTTGAGGGGGATGCGGCGCTCCGCCCTCATTCCTCTCCAGCTCTGTGTCCCGATGAGGGTTATTCTTGTGCGCTTTTTTTACGTTAGTAAATTGATACGTTGAAATACTCTGATTACTTACCTTTCTTTGTTATTTTTCTTCTTAATATTTATATTGTATGGCTTTATTACTCTTATCCAGCTTTTTTAATTTCAGAGAGTTTTGTGATTTTTTTGTATTTTTTTTCAAATTATCACAAATGAAACGACAGAGAGGCCCACCCAATGTACTTTTTAGGCAGTCTAGTCTTGAGAAAATGACGTGTTTGCTTTGTATGGAATTACAGCTACGGTCTGATTTCAAATTTCACTGACAAAATCTTCAAGGGGTCTGTTTTCTATGTCATATATTGCCCAAATTATTTAATTTGTAGTAGAATCTGGTGATTAGGCATTTCCTTTAAAAGATTTCATAGTAATATGACCCTTTGTTTTAGGAAATAATTCTGCTGCTTCTCGTGGACTGTGGTGTAGGCAATACTTATTCCTCTTTATTACGTGCACTGTTTTTCACCTGGGTACCCATCAAGACAAGGAGTGTGACTGGAGGTGAAAGCAATCTAATTTTGTGCACCTAGAACTAAAGACTTGAAATGTTGTCTACATTAATCTTGCATTTGTTTGTAAAAATAATAATGAATTACATACAAATAATAACCTGCCCATTTGTTTGGGTACATATTCATCATGAGTGCTATTCACTGGAAACAGTTTTTGTTGTTCATGCATACAGCCTAAATTATTCAGTCCTGAACTTGCTTCACAAATGAAGGCAGAAAGTTAAAAAAAATAATAATAATAATAAAATAAAATAAAAAAAAAGCTTAGTTTTAGGCTGTTTTAATGTACACAGTGTGCATCCTTAGAGCAGTCTCTGGAAGGTCACTTCCCAGTGAGCCGCTGTGTTTCCAGGTGACAGTTTCTCTGAAATACTGCATTTAAAACATCCTGCATGCTGTCCAAGGCAAGTGTGGGACAGCCGTTTCCCTCCAGTCTGATGCTGTAGCTTTTTGTCATTCATGCCATGATGAATGGCATCCTCTGCATGGAGGATGGCCCGTTTCCCTGCATAAGTGACAATGTTACAATACTTTGACACACACAAGCCTGAGAATATTAACTTGGGGTAACCTCAATAGACTTATGCTCACATATTGCTTGCACTTTGAAGCATCAAACCCAGTTTCATATTTTTATCTCAGACCAGAGAGAAGTGTGAATCTTCTTCTAGGGCTTGTGTCCAACTGGTTAGTTTTATATTTCTGTTGCCCCTATTTTTTTTTATGTTTTAATAACCAGTATATACAAATTAGAAAAGCTTTGTTACATATGTCAAACAACATATAAAATATATAAGACATTGAATATTTTATATATTTTATATGTTGTTCAAGACAACATTCCTCTTCTCTCAACCAGATTCTCAGACTGTAGCATCGCGATCATGATGAGCATCACCAACACAGAGCTGGAGAAGACCCTCTGTTTTATTTCCTGTGTCTGAAGTGTTGTTTAAGATTGAGTCACAGGCATTCTGGTCATGTTTGAAAAGATTTTATGTCATTCTAGATCACTGTTACTAATTGGATGAAAGTTAGTCATGCATATCAAATGGGCAGCAAAGGTGGCTACTTCAGCTGTGCACATATGTGAGGTGCCTCCATGGCTACAAAGATCTGACATCATTCTGACTGGATAAGCACTTGTTTTTTTCCTCCATGATTTCCTTTTGCCAGTGTACAATGCCAGTGACAACATTTCTCTGTTGCTCTGATGCAACTTCATGACTCTGAAAATCAACCATCACAACAGGTAAAGCCTACCTCAGTGTCTGCTGGTTGCCCTCACCAGGCTCCTTTTTGTAGCTCAAGGCCCCAGTGCAGCTGTGAGATCAGCACTGTTCCAATATGGAGAGTGTGACTGCAACCATGATGCACATATCAGTACACAGAGACCGAGGAACGCCCACCAAAATGAAAGGCTCAGGGAGGTATTCATGAACCCTAGCAAGCCCTTCTTTCACTCATGCTGGCATTTAGTTCTTGCTCAGTTGTCGTAACTCCAAGAGGAAAGGTCTGTGCAAGTGATGAAATCTAAAAACATAATGGTGAAATCATTTTCCCCAGCATCTTGTAGCTTGCATATTTTATGTAAAGAATTTCTCTGTCGGGCCCTGAAGGCTCCTGATTTTTCTCTGTCCTTGTCATTCCCTCCCCTTTTGGCATATTCTCCTCAATTTCTTCAACCATAAGGAAAGCTCACTCACTGTGCTCATTGCTACTTTATACCACTTTATCTGCATCATAGAAGTAGTGTTTTCCAGGTATTGCAGCACACAGACCGGACACTTAAATACATATAACTGGGACCCTCCTTGATCAAAGGGATATACTCCATGCAGTATGTATACATACCAGTCTCCCATTTGCCTGTCTCCCACCCTCACTATTGCCGTTCTTGAGCCTTTTGTTACTTGTCATGCTAAATCACATCCTGAAGCATGAGAAATGAAAGATGCTAAGACTCAAAGTGGTCAATGAAGGTGGGAGAAAAATCCACTTGAGGGTCTCTGGCTTGGGGAGTACCTATCCAAAAAAACCACCAGGAGCTAAGGGATCATTTTGATGTGATATCAATTACTGTACTTTTTTTCACGGCCTCTGTCAACAATGGGATATTGGATCAGAGGAAAATTTAATATGAATTGACACAGTTGACACAGTGCTGTGAACATCAGTCTCTATCTAGAATCCATGACAAAGGACAGCAGAATCTCAAGGCTGCCTTCTTCACCTTGCTCATTCATTTCTCCCACTTCAGGCTGAGGCCACCATCTGCAGAATCACGTTCCACCTTTAAGCCCTGTGTTCTTCCTCTATTCCTTACGAGTACGCAATACTGAAGTTAAGGAGCATGAGCAAGTGTCTCCCTCAGCATCAGGCAATAACTGTCAACCCAGAAGGAAGGAAAAGACAAAAGCACAGAGCTAAAATAATTTTCAAGAATCACCATGTTAAAAGAACAAGCACATCTTGTAAACAAAAAAGATAATAAACTCAAAATTAATTGGTTTTAAGTACAAGAACCCTCTCCTCCTCCATTTATTATTATTATTATTATTATTATTATTATTATTATTATTCCTTACCTTAGTGTCAAATGCAAATAAATGTTTCTGGCCTCATGCAGTGATGCAGCTTACAGCAGGAACCCTTGCAATCCTTTCTGTACACTCAAGCATACCAAGGCCTTTTTCTTCCAAAGAATTAATAGAACAAGCAGCAACTAAACATCTACCTTAGGATTTGGTATCACTATTTAGCTTAAATTATTTTTGTCTTTTTTTTCTTTCTCTCTCTTCCTGCACCCCCCATCCTTACCTCCTCCCACCAGAAGATGCTTATTGAAATGAACATGCATTAAATCTGAACACTTACCATAGAAATTACTCCGATGATCAGCAGATCCTCTTCTCAACAGCTGTGTGATGTTGTGACCATGCTCCCTTCCTTTCGGGTGCCTCCTATTGTAATTTGGGCAAATCCAAAAACCCAGCTGGCTTTTCTTTGCTTACTGCCTCCATACAGCTGGAGATGGCTGATTCCCGCTCCAACCTGCTCAACGCTGGACCTGTTTGCTGCTCTTTAGGCCAAATGTTAAGTGTTACTGACTTCTAAACTCAGTATGCAAGTGAGGCTTGTTATTCTGCTCCTCATTTCATGTATAAATCAGCCAAAATTTCATTGCTTTTTCAGTGTTAAAAACAGAAAGAAAAACAAAACATCCCACTAAAAAAGCCCTGTGTCATGAAGGCAAAGATTTAAGCCTAATACATTTGACTTTTTCAGACTAGTGTGCATGCACTATGTTGCAGGCAAAATATAGGAAATCACAACATACTGGGCCTCAAACATGCACTGTGCACATATCCCTAACTGCCTATGATGCCCTATTCCTGAGTTCCTAACAGTCTGACAGCAGAAGCACTCAGTGTCTACTCTCATTTGCTAGCTGTGGGAATATAGGAGCTCCAGCCCTTCCTACTGGTGTTCCTATTAGTCTGGGTGATCTCCTAACCAGGGATTGTGCCCCTCTGGCAGCAGCACATGGCTTGCACAGCTGGGAAGCACAGGCTGTAAAACATAAGCTACATCGTAGCACTGAATACCTCTTCAAAATCATGTAGCTGATTTCTAATGGAAGAAAGCCAGCCTATGTTGCTGGCATCCAGGTGCTACCTGATGATAGTCCTGCTCTAGAATGGTGACACAAAGCCTTATCTGCAGTCAGGACCTGATTGACCCCCACACTTCTCAGTAAACCACAGCATGTGACAGTGTTTTGGCCCTCAGTGGTGGCAAGTGCCCAGGCTGCATTGTGTTTGGGTGCCACTGTCACTGGCTGCATGACAAAAAAATGACAAAAAAATACATCCCATGTTTTGTCACGTCAGCCACCTGGGGTGGCTCCAGCCAGAGAGATCTCAAAATCAGAGGATCATTATGGTTGGAAAAAGATCATCTAGTCCAACCATCAATCCATCACCACCTTGCCCACTAAGCCATGTCTTATGGACTATGGACCTGCTCTGTATGTTTCTACGGTCTCAAAGTCACCCCTTGACTTGTCAAACACAACTCTGGATGGACGTGAGGGAGCATCTAGGTCATGTTGTACCCTACTAGCAGCTCTTACAGCTCTTAACCACAGGGAGCACAGGCACACAGGTAGAAGAGGGTGGAGAGCAGAAAGTGTGCAGAAATGCCAGGGGGTTGTGGGGTGGAAGAGCGGGTTGCTCAGCATTGCTCTGTGTGGGCTGCTTGCTGCTCAGAGCAGTCTGGCTTCAGTGCTGCTGGAGAGACTGCTCTGAAGGGACAGTGGGTGGCACATTTTCTTGGTGGCATTCACTGATATTAAATGTGGGTGGAAGAGAGGCACTGTCAATCCACGTGGGAAGGATTTTTGGGAGAAGCCACAATTGTTCAAGCTTCTGTTAATCTTGTTTACCTGTCAGAGACAGCTTGCCTCAAGGCCTGATATTCTCAGTCTCTGGCTGGTGGCTACATTCAAAGTATGCCAGGGTGGTCCAGAAGACATTTTGTCAAATACCTTAGTTTAGTTTTAGAAGACCAAAGTACTTTAAGACAATGATGATTCTGTTCTTTGGTAGCTGGCTGATACGATGTTTCCTTGACTGTCTGTGAAAAAAGTAAAAATGTGTCAAATAGTCAAAAGTGTGCAGGGGAGTTCTCTATGGTATGGAGCATAGTGCATCTTTTCTGCCCATTGCATCAGGGAAAACCTTTGATTCCAGATTTTTTGCTGCTTGTTTTCCCTTCCCCATGAAAAGAAACCTCTACTGCCATATCTGTATCTATTTGGATAGATTTGTAAATTTTCAGTTCCAAAAGGACACGGCATGATGATGATGAAGGGAGGCCTCAATAAGAGCCCCATCCTTAAACCAAAAAGAACAAGGAGGAGTGTGCAACATTCCAGGAAGCTGAATCTGCAGGGACAGTCACCCACTGCCATACCCTCCTTGTCTTGCCCATTGCAGATGCTTAGCTGTACACTGACTTAAAAAGCTCTTGGTGGCCTCATTACATTTAGGAATCTTAACAACATCAGCAGCAACATTGATATTATGTAGGCAAAGAACTTCAATGAGTTTGTAGTTCTGTAGGTACCACTTTAAAATTGCTTAGCTAAGGGTTAAAAGCTGTTAAACTGTGCTGGCTGGTTTGTTCACAAGAGTTATTACATTTGTAACTTGCATAAGGGTGAAGTCACTGAGGGCAAGTTAGACATGGGTGTAACATTGTAATAAGAGTGTAATCGTCATTGCAGGAAGTATTTGTACCTCGTACCCGGGGAACATGTACATGGGAAAGCAGCACGTAAGGACCTTTACCTAAATCTCTCTGGAAATTGTTGTTGGAGGAAAGAGAGGGGCCAAACTGCTCAGGCGCACCCACTGCTGTTCCTCCAGTTGCCTGCAAGGAGCTGATCAGAGCATTCTACACTGGTGGTAGAGCCATTAGCCGTGTTTGTGTGGTTAGCTCTCATGCAAATGCTTCCTAACAAAACTGCTTGAGAAGAATAACTGCCGTGTTACCTTGCTTTGTTGCACGTATATCTAAATATAACCCAAAGCTCATTTTCTGAGGAGCAAGTGCTGGCAGGTCCTGAGACAGAGATGGGAATGTCTGATAGCTCTCAGGTGCTGCACCATCCTGTGGCTCAATTCTCCTTCCTTATGCCAGGAGGCCTGAACACGAAAATGCGAAAGTTGGACAGAGATGGGCACCTGGAGGGAAGAGACTTGCAGTGTTCAGATAGCAATCTTGTGCAGGTTTGTGATGTATTGAGATCTGCTGCACTGCCCAGAAGGTGGGAAAAACTGAAGTCATTCAGATGTAGCAGATATTACTCTCTCCAAGAGTATCTCTGGAGATTCTGATGTCATTCTCCTCCTCTTTTAATGAGTGAGGAAGTCTACCTCCCTCTGGTCTCCTCATTGGGAAAACCAAAATGCATGCCAGAGTCAACAGGGTGCTTTCTTGTTGAAGTCTTTCTGTGATGAATGATGACTGAAACACCTATGATGCCAAAAATAAGATTATTTACCTTTCAGACTTGCTCACCTAGAGCTGAAACTGTCATTCTTGCCTTCTTTATAATCCTTTACCACCTTTCTGCCTTGCCTGACTGCGTATTTCTGTTCCTTCTTCCCTACCTGTTCTGACTGTGGACAAAACTCTTTTTCTAACTGTCAAATGCACCTTAGCTTTCCAAAATGTTGGTCCTGCATGTTTTTCTTTCATGTGGAGAAGACATGTTCCCAGTATCAATTCTGCACGCTAAAGTTGTTTTCTACCTTCACTGCAGAGCTATTAGAAAAGAAAGGGCAGAGCTTATCCCCGTGTCTTGAAATTTCTGAAGTCACTTCAGTTTCAGAGTGATAAACCACAACTGTTGCAGATCAGACGCTGCTGTATATATTATTGGCTGCTTCTGTTGAGAACATAAGAGGGTAACAAATGCCGGGAGAAAAGTGGAGGAATCCCCCAACTGGGATGGTGATCATTGTAAACACTTCCATTTCAGCTACCAGTAAACGTGAATCAAGCCTCTGTGGAGCCACAACTGAAGGATGGAGTATTTAAATCTTCTCAAATAAAGGTGGCTGAAGTGAACGTATATGAATTCAAAATAAGAGTGGGCAGGAACAGTTTTCCTGTCACAGGCGTGTCACTTGTGATCTACACTTCTCCTCTGCCTGGATATGTAGTGAATTGTCCCAGTAGGTGCTAAGCGTTATGTCCTCAAAGTCCTGCTATGCACTGCGCATGCAATCAAGTCACTACAACATCTTATTCACTGATTTATGGGCACAAGTTAAGAAAAACATTTATTTTTTTACTTCACTTTCGACAGCTCATAAAGATATTTCTTCAGTATCCACATTCGCTCTGATATATTTCAGTCTTGTGTCCATATCTAATGTTGCATAATTTTTACAAACAAGATTCTGAAAGCTCCAGTAGGATTTATCCTTCTATCCATCATCTTCCTGCTGTAGCAGAGCTCACACAGAGCTCAGATGCACTTTTCCTGCAACCTTATATTAGCTTTGTGTTTTCCTCTTCTAGGATGCAAATTGTTGATTTTTTTTTTTTCCTAATTTAATCTTCACATCATTTAGTTGTGACTTTTGTACTCAATGAAGCCCGATTTTGAGGAAAACAAACGTATTCACATTATATACATGTTTAGTGTTGATATCATAGAGGCTGTAAATAAAAAAAAAAAATGAGGAGAAAAGAGGATTGCATTAACTTAAAACTATACGTTCATAAAATCTGACATCATGGTTGTTAGTATCTGCATGAATTCAGTGTTTAAATTCCATGTTGGATCTGGTTATGTCGAAAAAAATGGGAGGGCAAGGTTGATTTTACAGTATTTGTGTTATTCTTAAGTAACCATTGAAGTCAACAGATAACATACTTTATAATCAGATACAGATGCTGAAAAAATTGTTCCAGAGCTCCATTCTTGTCAATAGATTTCATTACCTCCAATCAGACATCAGTATTGATTGAATTCTTCCTGGTGCTTAGGGATGAACTATGGCCTACCACTCCCCTAACTGAAACCCAGGTTATCACAAAGAGCTGTGGTTCTTGTCAAGAAAACAGTTCCTCCTTACTGTGACTGTAAAATGCAGGAGAAAGAATTAAACGGGCTTTTATTTTTTCATCAAATGGGCCTTCCTGTTGTTCATTTTATCTTTCATTTTTCCTTACAGAGAGACAAGGAGATACTGCACTGGCTTTATTTAATTTTTTGTCTGTGCAAGAGGTTTGTTTGTTTGTTTTTGTTGTTGTTTTTTTTTTTTAAGAGTAATTTTGTTTAAAATTTTGTAACTATCACAGAAAATACAACAAGATTATACTCTCTAGGCAGTAAGAGCAGAAGTACATAAGAGCTACATTAGGCCGTCCACATCTTAACTGACCAGAGAGACAAAAGTAATATCGTTAAATATAACCAGAAGTTCAGAAGGCTGCTTTAGTTTAGAAAGCTGCAGTTTGGTAACACGGGGTACTGGGAGATTGTTTACTGGAAGTAGAAACACAACATGGAAAAAAGAAATATCGATTTACTTAATAACTGGTACAGAAATTCACATGAGAAACAAACAAAGGAAAAAAGCACAAGGCAGCAGGGGAAGTTTGCCTACCCTCTAGTGAAATTTCAGGAAGACAAACAAAACAGCTACATCTTTATGAATTCACAGGCAGTAACAAATTGTTTACAGCTCTATAATAAGAGTAATAGGAGGTGGTATGAGACACTATTTCAACAGAGTTTAGCGTTTTAGGAGGTAAAACACATGGCCAAAGGAACCGGTTCTTAATCCATATTCAGAGCTGAGAGGGGAGTTTGTGTTACTTCCTCCTCTTCAAAATCAATTTAAACTGTCAAAATAGCTTTAAATCGTCAGATTTCGATTTTAATCGCAAGAAAACCCTCTAAAGAATAAGATGCAGTGGTTGCTGTAAGATTTCTGCAGAAAGAAAATTTTTAATTTGCAATGAAAAACAAAAGTTTCTCTCTTCAGAGGTCTCTCCAGCAGCAGCACACGGGATTTATCGCCTCTCCTTTAACTCAGGACGCGTGTCTGCGGCTGGAAACTCTCCCGAACGCAAGTACCTGCTCTTCTCCTCCCTCACCGAGGAAACGGGGCGATTCGGTGGCAGAAATTCCGAGGAAAATACACTTTTGTTAGTCCAAAGAAACACAAATCGAGCACACCGAAGGGCTCCCCGGCCGTGAAGCGGGGCGGGCTTAGCAACGCACCAATCACCGCGCGGCTCCTCTCTAAAAATACGAGCATCTGACCCGCGCCAGCCCAATTGTGTTCGCCTGCTCCGCGGAGGACTCCGCCGCGATGTCCGAGACCGCTCCCGCCGCCGCCCCCGATGCGCCCGCGCCCGGCGCCAAGGCCGCCGCCAAGAAGCCGAAGAAGGCGGCGGGCGGCGCCAAAGCCCGCAAGCCCGCTGGCCCCAGTGTCACCGAGCTGATCACCAAGGCCGTGTCCGCCTCCAAGGAGCGCAAGGGGCTCTCCCTCGCCGCGCTCAAGAAGGCGCTGGCCGCCGGCGGCTACGACGTGGAGAAGAACAACAGCCGCATCAAGCTGGGGCTCAAGAGCCTCGTCAGCAAGGGCACCCTGGTGCAGACCAAGGGCACCGGCGCCTCCGGCTCCTTTCGGCTCAATAAGAAGCCCGGGGAGGTGAAGGAGAAGGCTCCTAGGAAGCGAGCGGCTGCTGCCAAGCCTAAGAAGCCGGCGGCCAAGAAGCCCGCGGCTGCTGCCAAGAAGCCCAAGAAGGCGGCGGCGGTGAAGAAGAGCCCCAAGAAAGCCAAGAAGCCGGCGGCCGCAGCCACCAAGAAGGCGGCAAAGAGCCCTAAGAAGGCCGCGAAGGCTGGTCGCCCCAAGAAGGCTGCCAAGAGCCCGGCCAAGGCAAAGGCAGTGAAGCCCAAAGCTGCCAAGCCCAAGGCGACCAAACCCAAGGCAGCCAAGGCAAAGAAGACGGCAGCCAAGAAGAAGTAAGTTATCCCTGAAGAGTTCCTGCTCTACCTATTTTGATATCCAACGGCTCTTTTAAGAGCCACCCACACTTTCCCTAAAGGAGCTGAGGCACCGAGGTCGTCAGAAACCTGCAGCACGGATCCAGCAATTCGTAAGTCGTCAGAGGTCAATTGCCTTTTCCCTTCCGATTACTGAAACCTAACGAGCACGGTATTACGCGGCGGCTTTAGGGAAGTGTAGACTTTGTATCTTTTGCCGAGTAATTGGTTTGACTACCGTGAAGAAATGTTTTATAATGATTTGATAAAAATCGGGTGACACTTTTTTAAGAATATATTTTTTAACAAAAGTAATGGATTTCCCAGGCGCAAGCTACTACTGAGCCACGTCTAATGTATTGTGTTGGTCCTTTTTAAGGTGTCTCTTTAAATGCTTTTATGCGTTAGGGGAAGACGTGAGATTTTTCTTACTGACGCCATAACAGCCCCGTGCTCTCCCATCTCTTTTGTTCCCGCTGAGACATAACAGCAGCTTCTGCTGTTGGAAAAGCCCGCCCTGGCCGAGGATTGGCCACGAGGAGCCCGGCCCGCTGCCCCTTCCCCCACCCACCGCAGACCCCGCCTTGGGCCCGACGCTTTTGGCCGCGTCGAAGAAAGGAACAGGCGCGGGGGAAGGAGGGGAGGGGACAGGCGGTGACGGTGGCCCCCGGAAAGCATTGGTTTCCTTTAGCGCGGTATACGAACTGAAAGCGTAACGGCGCGTCTCGGGAGAAATTCCTTTGGGAGAACACTTTGGCACGACTTTGTTAACGGAAGCATGGAAAGCGTTGCTATTACCCAACAAATAATATTGATAATAAACATAAAAGAAAAAAAAGTACGGCTCGAGTAATTCATACACCTGCACAACTGTATTGTGGATTTCTGAGCTCTCCTGTGATGCTGTGGGTGGCTCTGAAAAGAGCCTTTGGGTTGTTCTCTCCAGACCGTGCTGCCTCTGCGGTACTCACTTGGCCTTAGCCTTGTGGCTGTCGGTCTTCTTAGGCAGCAGCACGGCCTGGATGTTGGGCAGCACCCCACCCTGCGCGATGGTGACCTTGCCCAGCAGCTTGTTGAGCTCCTCGTCGTTGCGGATGGCCAGCTGCAGGTGGCGGGGGATGATGCGCGTCTTCTTGTTGTCGCGGGCCGCGTTGCCCGCCAGCTCCAGGATCTCGGCCGTCAGGTACTCCAGCACGGCCGCCAGGTACACCGGGGCGCCGGCGCCCACCCGCTCCGCGTAGTTGCCCTTGCGCAGCAGCCGGTGCACGCGGCCCACGGGGAACTGCAGCCCGGCCCGCGACGAGCGCGACTTGGCCTTGGCGCGCGCCTTCCCGCCCTGCTTCCCGCGGCCAGACATCGCAGCGGCTTAAGGCTCGGACCACAACCGAGCGAGGAACACAGCGAGAGACCGACGGAACTCGACTACGCTCTTGCTTAGGCTCCTCGTCTCTGCGTTGATAGGCTGACGTCTGGGTCCGTTGTGGGCAGCCAATGAGAAGGCGAATCGAATTGGAACCAATGAAAAACAGTTATAGAGGAGGAAAGGGGTGTTCTCGAGGACTGACCAATGAAAGAGTGCGAAAGGGATACTTCTCATTTGCATAGAGGAGCTATAAATAAATGGGCTACGACCACTTCCTTCCCATTCGGCTTTTCGTTCTCGTGTTGGTGTTTGTTGCTGTGTGACTTCTTTGTGTCGCGATGCCCGAGCCGGCCAAGTCCGCGCCCGCCCCCAAGAAGGGCTCCAAGAAGGCGGTCACCAAGACCCAGAAGAAGGGCGACAAGAAGCGCAAGAAGAGCCGCAAGGAGAGCTACTCGATCTACGTGTACAAGGTGCTGAAGCAGGTGCACCCCGACACGGGCATCTCGTCCAAGGCCATGGGCATCATGAACTCGTTCGTCAACGACATCTTCGAGCGCATCGCCGGCGAGGCGTCGCGCCTGGCGCACTACAACAAGCGCTCGACCATCACGTCGCGGGAGATCCAGACGGCCGTGCGGCTGCTGCTGCCCGGCGAGCTGGCCAAGCACGCGGTCTCCGAGGGCACCAAGGCGGTCACCAAGTACACCAGCTCCAAGTAAGCTGTCTCCGTTTCCCGTACCTGAGTTGCTCGACCCAAAGGCTCTTTTCAGAGCCACCCACCTTGCCAGAGAAAGAGCTGTAATCCTGTCGGAAAGCAAGTAAATAGTGTAGTTGTCAGTACGTGTTTCTTCTTTACATCTGCAAAATCCTTTCTAAAAATAATTTCTGTAAATAGCATTACCTGCCAATTTTGTTCCAGAAAATATATGTATTTCCGCTATCTGCAATATTTGTCTTAATTTTTAATTACAATTTCGTTGTGTTTTGTTGTTTTCTTTTTTTTCTCCTAGGTGAGACTCCATTCCCTTCCCTCTTCCTCCCCTAAGTCTTTGTCTCGTTTGCACTCTTACCGTTCATCACATCCCAATCAATACCTCTCCGTTCGGGTTTTAAGAGTTCATGCAAACCGAAGGAACAAGAGTGCTTTTTTACATCTCACATTGCTGACAGAGACTCGTATCTGTTTTATTGATCATTTAAACTCCATCAACGGTGTTTTAGCTGCAATATCGACATCAGCCGCTTGAGGGTGCCTCAGTCCCAACTGTTACAGTTGAAGCGAGGTGTGTCCGCGATGCGTGAGTGTAAAAGAATTTTGTTATTTTACACTTTCCAATCAACTGTCACTATAGCCCAAGCCTCTGTATTTAAGCATGGTAGTTAATTAAATGGAAATCCTTTCTAACAGTTACGTCAGCAATTTTCTTCTGTATTTGTGATTTATTTTTTTTTCCAGTAACTTGCACAGCTTCTCCTGTTATAGGAGAGACTATTTCCCCTTGTAAATGCACAATGAAGATGAATATGACTTAGCAGCTACTTTGCCTTTCCAGTATTTGTAGCTCATTAATTTAAGTACCGAGAACTGCAGAAGTAGCCACTGTGGGCTGACCTGTTAAAGCACACAGAATCACACAGAATGGCCTGGCTTGGAAGGAACCTCAAGGATCGTGAATTCCACACCCCTGCCACATGCAGGGCCACCAACCTCCCCATTTCATACTAGATCAGGCTGCCCAGGGCCCCATCCAGTCTGCCTTTGAACACCTCCAGGGACGGGGCATCCACAACCTCTCTGGGCAGCCTGTTCCAGCACCTCACCACTCTCTCTGTAAAGAACTTCCCCCTGACATCCAACCTAAATCTTCCCTCCCTCAACTTAAAACCATTTCCCCTTGTCCTGCTGTTATCAACCCTTTCAAAGAGTTGACTCTCCTCCTGTTTGTAGGCTCCCTTTAGGTACTGAATTATCAGCCTTGAAGTCTTTCATCCAAGCCCTTGGTTTTCCAAATATCTACCACACTCTTTGGTAATTAGACATTGCTGCAAATGCAGAACTGAGCTGTTAACACCACCTCTTAAAATGCATCTGAATAATCCTTATCTCCAAGCATTATGCTGTGGCTTCAGCAACACTTGGTTTCACCAAGAACTGCAGAATGCCTGGACTCGAGCTTTCCAGCACTGACTGCATGTGGTGTTTGAGTACCAGTACAGAGACATCACTAAGTCTTTATTATTTTAGTCACTGATTTATCAACATTTCAGCTTGAGGCTGTTGTGGGAGGTCTCTGTTTTGATTTCTGGCCACTGATGCTGGGATCCATGCTTCCTTCTCCCCATTCTCCTGCAATTTCATATTGCGCTTTGAGATCTGCTCTCAAAGTATCTTAGAGCAAACTCAAACAGCTTTCACTTTCTGCACCCCCCCCATACACTATACTCTATACACAGTACTTAAAAAGATGAATAAATATAGTGTGCTCCAACCTATAAGTTCTTAGATAATGTAATATGTGGGGGGTGTAGAGAGGGAATCTAGAAAATATCTAAAAATACTCATACTCTGAAAGTGGTGATGCTCATTGGAACCATTTGTCAGAAGCTATTACACTTAGCAGTGTGTTATGTAAAATTCAGATTCAGCCATGCTGGCCTAAAAAAAAAAAAAGATAAAGGCGCATTCTATGCCCCCAGCTCAGGAATGCACAAGTATTATCTCAGCCCTTCTTCTATTTGCATGCTGGGTGCTTCATCTGTGGAGCTTTCACACATATTGGGTTGGACAATCTTAAAGGTCCCTTCTAACCCAAACCATTTTATGATTCTATGAAATTCCAGATAATCTTCCTCTCTTGCAGGCTGTTTCAGCATGCACATTTCTTACTCAAATCCTGAAAGTCATCAGCACAGAAAATATTGATTACGCTTTCTCCTTCCAACCTCAGTACAATATTCCAGTGTGAGTACAATCTCAGATACTGCTGTGCTGTGCACACAGCATTCCTCTGTGGACACACACACACCCCATCAGATCTGACTGTAGCACCGTCATTGCTCCATCTCTCGGTGCTGAGATCCCAGTCACTGCAGCGACAAAAACCAAGTACCATCAAAAATGTTGTGTGCTTGCCTTTTTTTTTTTTTTTTTTTTTTTTTTTTTTAAACCATTCATAACAGCAGTAAGAATTAGGCTCAGCAAGAGTAGCAAACAATTTTATCTCCATCTGAGATGGAGACCATCTGAGGAGAGTGTTTCATGGGATGATATCCAGCAGCAGATATTCCAACACAAACATGTCTATCAGATCAGTGCCAACATTTCAAGCCCAAAACTGATCACATTCAAGGGGATCTTAGAGGCATGGGAATGTTAGCCCTACAATTTAAGCAGTAAGATGAAAGGAGAAGATCAGGATGGGGTGAAGGAGGGAAGGGAGGGGAATCACTGAATCACAGGAGATAAAGAAGTACACACAGGTTTCTAGATGAAGCAAAGACTAAGTGAGGGGCATCAGAGTTGTCTACAGGAGGTCACAGGTTCTGACAGCACTGCAGTCAGAGTCATCTCACAAACGTTTTACCTGACTAACATTTGGAATTAATGAAAACACCACCATGAATATAAAAATCACACAATAGTGCATTATACTATCTGTTATATTCTTTATAGTTCTTTACTATTAAATCCAAAGCAGTTTCCTTTGTCTTCTGTAACACATTCTACTCAGAGAACACTTCCTGTGAACCAGAGAGTGGAGCAAGTTCACATAAATCATCCTGGGAATTGCTATAAAGCACAGCCTTCAAAAAGGCCACTGTGTGTTGTGTACTGTCAATTCCTACCTTGAAAAACCTGCCTTCGTTCACGTGAACAGAAACACACGGTAGGTTTATTTTTTGTTTACATGAACACATTTAATCAATCATTTTAATCAATCATGTACACTGTGCTTTGTGCCTGTAGTGTGTTATCAACCATAAGGTATAGCAAAGAATGATCCATGCAGTTAAAAACTGCCATTATCTTGTTTTTCATTTCCATAGTCTGTTACAGTCAAGCAGTTTTGGAAAGATGCTACTTACCTAGCCATACATGCAGTACATTTTATATTTGTCAGTCACTTACAAGTTAAACTGAAACAAAACCACACAGTCTGTTCTTTGCAAAAATGAAATGCAGCATCTGGGTGAACAAGTAACAGTAACTGCTGCTCTGCTTAACTGACAACACAGGAAGATGATTCAGATATTATACACAATGATCAGTGCCAAAGATCCGATTGAGAAACTGAACAAAACACTTCTGTAACTACTTTATTCTGCTTCCTGGTTGGTCGGTTTGAGTCAATATTTGCTCACTCACTTCTCAGCTCATATTATTTTCCAAGTTGCCAGAAATTACTTATTATTACACACAGTGCAAATTATTCAAATTATTGTTATGTTAAGCAACTCCCATCTTTATTTTCCAGTTTGATTACAAAAGAGTATACTTGAAAATAATCTGCATTATGAAAGCATAATTAATAGGAAGAGGGAATCCCACTGAAAAAACCCTTCTCCCTGCCCAGCTCACACACATGGGATAGGAGAAGAAACATGACAAAGAGCAGCTGCATCCAGTTCCCTCAGGATTGGGTCACAAAACCAGAGGCCTAAAACCACAAAACCAGGTGCTGCAAAGCACCCTCTGGAACTCACCAGGTGCAGTACTTGTTTTATTCATTTTTAATATATTTATTTTTGATGGCTGCAAGTAACTTGCTGTACTTTGTGGCCATTTCTGATGCCACTCTCAGAGTGGTTTCAAAAATACTCACTCATGATGCTGACCTTTAACCAAAAAGTTAATTCCATTTCCTTTTAACAAAATTACTCTGATAGCAATTCTGCACATATACTCATTTTAAAACTGGAGAGAACAAGGAGTTTATATATGAGAGGAATAGCAAGACAGCTCAGAATTCTCATCACCAGCAGAATCCACAACTGTTTGTACCACTGTTTGTGTCACCTGTAGATTTTAGTCTTGAAAGACTCTTGAACAGTTCTGAAAAGAAGCAAAGGCCACAGAATTATGGATGAACATTGAACTACAGAGAGAGCACGAGAACCTGTGCTGCTGTTGTACAGCATCAGAGATGTGAAGAAACATACACCTCTCCTATGTGCACTGCACCCACTGCTCATTTGGCAGCAAGCTGCAGCTGCTGCTCCCCCAACAGCCTCAGCTGTGAAACAGTTTCTTCGCCTTTTACCCTTGGGACACAGTAAGACTTGCTTTTTTAAGTCATTCTGCAGAAACACACACAAAAGAGGACATTACTATAGGAACGATACATCTCAAGTCTTTATATATATATATTTTAAGTAGTCTGCTTCTTTATTTGCTCCCAACACACAACCACCCAACTCAGCATCATAGCAAACAGGCACCTGGTCTGAGCTGGCTCAGAGAGATCTATTTGTCCACACCAATTTCATACTTCAAACTTTCAGATGCTGCTGTTTGAAATCACTGATACAAATCTCCCAGAAGCAAAATCGTCACATGGGTGTCACACAATTTCAGTTCCCACAGGAAAGAACAGAGGTTGATGCAGCTCAAATCCTACAAGATTACCTCATGTCATGCAAAGCCTCATAGAAGAAACAATATAAATTCTGCTTCAGGTTTAGGATAGAAAATACTGACTGCAAATTATGAACTAAGAAAAAGCAATAGTGAAAAGCAAATTTTGAGATTCCCTAAAAGGCTAATAGAATCGACCAGAAAGATTCACCCGAAAGACAGCCTCATGGAGGCAGACAGACCAGACCTATAGCAGCTCTTAGATACCACAGGTAGGAACGAAAAACCCACGGCCCACTCTGCTAGGAAGCACCACCCTTTCTGCCTGTTAAAGCGTAGCGCAGCTCCCGGAGGGCGGCGGTACAACTCCGCCTGAGCAGCCACTGCCGATGGAGGACTTGAGCGCACACCGCGGCGTAACTGCGCCGCCAGCGCTGCCCTGCAAAGAGAGCTGCGCGCGGCTTTGCATCAGAGCCGGCGGACGTTTGTAAAGGGCTGCACACTAAACGGAAAACAAATATAACGTGCATCCCATCAACGCCCACAGGAAAGATAAGAACTGGAAAAAGTGCATCAACTCTCTTAAAGAAAAAGTGGGTGGCTCTGAAAAGAGCCTTTTGTGCTTGCATCTGGATTTGTCATAAGTTGTGCTCACTTGGCCTTAGCCTTGTGACTATCGGTCTTCTTGGGCAGCAGCACGGCCTGGATGTTGGGCAGCACCCCACCCTGCGCGATGGTGACCTTGCCCAGCAGCTTGTTGAGCTCCTCGTCGTTGCGGATGGCCAGCTGCAGGTGGCGGGGGATGATGCGCGTCTTCTTGTTGTCGCGGGCCGCATTGCCCGCCAGCTCCAGGATCTCGGCCGTCAGGTACTCCAGCACGGCCGCCAGGTACACCGGGGCGCCGGCGCCCACCCGCTCCGCGTAGTTGCCCTTGCGCAGCAGCCGGTGCACGCGGCCCACGGGGAACTGCAGCCCGGCCCGCGACGAGCGCGACTTGGCCTTGGCACGCGCCTTCCCGCCCTGCTTCCCGCGGCCAGACATCGCAGCCACTCGCTCCCACGAAGAAACCAACAGCTCGCAGCAAAGTGCTCTCCCACCGCGCCCGCCCGCTTATATTCAGTTCGGGCGGAGCGGAGGCGCGCCGTCTGATAGGCTGAGCGGGAGGCGCAGTGCGTGCAGCCAATGGGCGAGCGAATCGAAGGGCCTCCAATGGTGAAGCGCGTGTGGTGGTGACGTCACAGGGCCGAACTTACCGCCAATGGCAACGCGGCGCTGCGGAGCTGCTGCTTTGCATAGCGCCGCTATAAAAGCGGCTCCCGCGGTCGGCTGCTTCAGTTCGCTCGCTGCGAGTGTGGTGGTGGAGTGTTGTTTTTGAGTGCTTGTGTGGTGTTCAGTATGCCTGAGCCGGCCAAGTCCGCGCCCGCCCCCAAGAAGGGCTCCAAGAAGGCGGTCACCAAGACCCAGAAGAAGGGCGACAAGAAGCGCAAGAAGAGCCGCAAGGAGAGCTACTCGATCTACGTGTACAAGGTGCTGAAGCAGGTGCACCCCGACACGGGCATCTCGTCCAAGGCCATGGGCATCATGAACTCGTTCGTCAACGACATCTTCGAGCGCATCGCCGGCGAGGCGTCGCGCCTGGCGCACTACAACAAGCGCTCGACCATCACGTCGCGGGAGATCCAGACGGCCGTGCGGCTGCTGCTGCCCGGCGAGCTGGCCAAGCACGCGGTCTCCGAGGGCACCAAGGCGGTCACCAAGTACACCAGCTCCAAGTAGAGCGGTCCTGATCCTCACTTTGAACCCAAAGGCTCTTTTCAGAGCCACCCACTCTATCAGTAAAAGAGCTTTAATTACTGTGTTTTATTGTTAGGTATTTTCTCTGCTAATCTGCTGCATATTTCTTGTATGATTATATTCGGTACAGTTATTTTTCACTTAATTGTTCACATAACTAATGAGTCTCCGAGTTTCCTGAGCTTTTACATCATACGTCAGATTATAAGTATTTTAAAAGGGGAAAAAAATGCCAGAACGAAATAAGCTGGTCTGGATAAACGTTCCGCAGGCTAGATTTGGCGTTTTAGAGATGTTAAAGCCTCAGACGAGACCATTGACGAAGCTTTTCAGATGCAAACCCTTGTACCTCAATAGAGGCACTGTGACCGCGGCGGTCGCTGTATCGGCGCTTTACCCTGCAGCCCGGGCGCTGAGTCACGCCTGCGTGTAGCGAGCTGATTGGAATGTCGCTGTCGATTGGCTAGAGAGACGGAGGTCAGCTCCCTGACCCTGACGTCATTGAGTGCCGGGAGGAGCTCGTGTCGGGGGCGGGGGGGAGGTTCTGCAGGGTCGGAGGAGGCGGTGCTGAGGCGTGGGGTGCCCACGCGGTGCGGAGCTGCCCGGTCGCGCAGCGTCTCTCAGAGCCCTTCTCCTCCCAGCCCGCACGCGGGGCACTTTACCCAGTAGGTGATCTCCTCCCACATCTGTCACTTTACACGTGCTCAGGCTGCACAGGCAAGACGCTTGTCGCCTAATTAAGATGGATACACAGTAGTTAGCGCTCGTTGATTTTTCTGCGTGATCCTTAACGGTACCAGAGCAGCTTCATAGGAGTTCATCGTGATGTTCAAAAACGGTGTGAATGACTTGGCATGATGTGGAGATAAAGGATGAAAGCCCCTCCTTTCCTCAGTACTTTGACCGCTGTCACCTGATACTGGCAGTAAACTCGGGACCTTCGGTAGTTACTGCAAAATCCTCTACAAATCTGCATTCTGTTTAGGGAAGGTTGTTATTCCTAGATAAGCAGGCCGTATGGATCCTGCAAGCAGTGTCTCAACATTCCACAAGCTTTGAGAGGGGTACGCTGTACCCTGCTAGGGTTGATAACGAGGTCAAAGTGCTGATGAGAATCTTAGTCAACAGCCCATGTTTTTTTTTGTAAATAAGTTCTTGACTGTATATAGGACCTGGACTTTGTAATATGCAATCTTTTGCCTTGATAGCAACTCGCAGTGGAACCTCATGACACTAAAAACCCTTGCAAGGGTCTTATATTTACCTAGCACGTGCGTGGCATTAGATTTTAATATGATATATTAGATTTTAACATGTATATCAATTCTCAGAATAGATGGGAAATTTGGGGAAGTTGTATGGATATTCACACGTTTGAATGTATTTAATGTGTGCTTCTGCTCATGCACTTGAATGTGAGAAGCAGTGATCCTCTATGAACCTACTGCTGCTATAAAGTAATGTCAACTTTCTAACCCAACTTTTGGGTTAGCGGGTTTCATCCCCAGACTTTGGTGACAATTTTTCACTGTTACAAAAAATATTCTACCAGTCAGCTTAACCCTATTGCTTGCATATGATCCATACCCTTAGGATTATTGTTATTAACGTAATCGTTATTATCATTATTATTAAGGGTAAGAAGAAATGTAAACCCTCTTCTCTTTGCAGGTAAGCAATTGTGCCCTTTCTGCCACTTATTGTTTACCAAACGTTCCCAGTAGACATTAGTGTGTATTGACTAGGAAAGAAATCTAAGGGAAAGATGGTGGGAGACATCTGGAATTCACACCAGAAGGTTCAGTGAATAAATACCAGGCAGTATAAACCAATTTTCCTTTGGGTGTTCCTTATAAACTTCACCTGGCAGTCACAAGCCCAAGAAAACAAGAACGTACCCGCCACCCAGATGTACCTTTGTCCATATGTTGTGTTTAACTGGATGGAAATTGGAGAAGGAAGCTGAATTCACTCCTTAGCGGGGGGCCTATCAATCTGACATCAGAGGAAAAGGGAACTTAACTGAGACAAAGAAAAAAAAATCACACCACTGAAAGCAATGGTTTTAGCACCCTTTTGTTCTCCCAAAGCACAGCCTTCCTGCAGGAGCAGTTCACAGAGACGCCCTCACTGTGTGTGCCCCTGAACCGTGTGCACCTTCAGATCCTATCAGAGAATCAGTTCCCTGAGCACCAGTTGATCTTTGGAAGATGATTCTGGGACTCTGGTTCCACGGAATGGAAAATCCAGCCTTGGCCTTGCAATGCAGAGCAGATTTCACTCCCAGTCTGCTTGTAGGTCTGTGTCAGAAGAGTCTCTATTCCCACAGGAACATATGCTTTCTCACAAGGAAAACATCCCACAAGGCTAGGCCCTTCTTCCTCCCTTCCATGATATGCCCACTGCTGGAATAATATCAAGGCAGGTTCCCCTTGAGCCTCCCTTGTAGATGACCTACTGCTTACTTGGAGTGACTCACTTCAGAATTGCTGCTTGGGTGAATATTGACTGCAAAGTATCACAGGTGTAATCAGAAGTGCCTTTCAGCCTCTTTTGTCTTTGCTTCCTCTTTCTTTCACCAATTCTCCCTCCCATCCACCTCATCAATCTGATTGTGCCTCCTGCTCATGTTTACAGTAATCTACACCCAGCACTCTCCCACTGCCACTCCTCCTCCTGGGAAAGGATCATTTGTTCCTTATGGCACAACAAGCAATGCCTGAAGTTATTGAACATGTAACATCCACCTCCTTCCTGCCTCATCAAACACCTGCTTTCTGTCTCTGGGTTGTAGTTCTGAGTTATAGCAACTCAGCCAAGAATTGTGTTGAACTTCATCATGGTAGGCCTAGGAAGACAGGAGAAGCTTGTAGCAGATATTAAGAACCAGAGAAAACATTTCATCATTTCTCTGTCCAGCTGAACAAAGAGCAGATACCACTCTCCACATCCTGCTCCAATTGTCTGTGTGCAGTCACACAGGTGTCAATCTACAGCAATAAAAGGAGAGAGAGAGAGTGGCAGAAGTGTCATGGTGGTATAAATTGGTGATATCTTAAGGATAGACCAAAATACCAGGGGATTTGGGAATCAAAACTGAGCAGCACTGAGTACCTGCCTCAAGTACTCAAACATCAACAAGACGGTTGGCAAAACCCTGTCAGAAAGTGCACTTCTGGTGGCCCCACATCTTCTGCTGCAGTGGCCCTACTAACAGGTAAGGCAGCCAGTGAGAAATCCTGAGCCATGTTAATAGAAAGCATCACATAAACTACAAATGCCCCACTGATCTTGCTGGTACCACTACCACAACCTCCTTCTGAAATGCATAGGTTTCCCAACCCCAAAATATCTGGGAAGGATACATGCATACCAGCTTTTCAGTCTCATTTCCAGTGCTGACTTTACAGTTTTCTTCTTTCAGCACAGCCTACAAGGAGGAAGGGCAGCTATGATGTCTTCCCCATCCTGAAGCACTGCAGTTGGTGGCACTCTTCCCATCTGTGCAGCACTTCTTTCCAAGACTCATTATTTCCTACCGGGCACGTAAGTAGCAGCTCAACCACCTCACCTCTCTGCACTGCCAACAGATGTAGGAGACCATACAGAACAGTTCAGCTCTCAAGAAGGTGTGTTATTGCACAACTGTCACTTCATATTTCACCCTGATACAATCCATACCCACTTTGCCGCATCTACCAGGCACAAGTCGAAGACAGCATTTTGTTCTCATAGTCTTGAGGAGCAAATGAAAGCTTGACCACGCAGCACAACACGTTTACTGAGGCTGTTTGTGGAGTGGACAGCCCAGGTGAGTGTCTTCTCTGAACAGACCCACAGGGGAAGGAGCTGCTGTCTGCAGGGTGAGCAGCAGCAGTCCAGGCATGAGATGCCAGGAGATCTCCAATTACATGTGCTACGTGTGCTGCAGCAAATAAACTATCTTGTTAATGTGCCTTTGGAAAGTGGCATTTCACATAGAATCACAAAATCATTAAGTTTGGAAAAGGCCTCCAAGATCGAGTCCGACCATCAGCCTTTCCCTACTGTCCCTGTTAAAGCATGTGACTTAAGGGCAGAAAATGGAAATCTATGTTTGAAGTTCTGTTCACGTTTACCAAAAACAACCCTGAACATTTGTCTGAATGCCTGGAAATATTCAGTGTACTGCATCTCAGTGATTCACAGAATTTCCATAGTACATTTTCTCCTGGTCTCCAAAGTGCTGTACACATTTTTCAGACATGTCATATGCTCTGCCTCCTGTGACCCTCCCAGCTTATTAAATGAGTGAGGTAAGTGGAGAGAAAGAGTGATGAATGGCTATCTCCTTTCTACCTGAATCCACATTCACTACAGGCAAAATCTCTTTTTAGTAAAGCATAAATTTACATGTATAAATTAATCAGTACAGTAACATTTTCATACATGTTGTATTTATGTGATATTGAAGCATTAAATATTGAACATGACACTTTACACTGAATGATTGATCTGAACTGATTCTTGGAATTACACCTTAGCTGAGTTTGGGAGCCTTTAAAAATTAAATGGACTGGAATGAGAAAGGAGCTGTTTCTGTTCTGTTTTGCATCAAACTAAAACTGAATATTTGGATTTGGAATTTTTTTTTCACAAGGAAATAATTTTAGGAACATTAAAGAAGTCTATATGGATATTTCTGACTAGATAATGTAATTTGCTGCCTGATGTCTACTATGCATCTGATTGTAGATTTCTTACAAAAAGATGCTAGTGATCTATATGGGAATTTAAAAGATCTATGAATACTAAAAAACCTCTTATTATGAGGAAGAGTCCTATACTGGAGACTGAGCTGTAAGCAGTAGTAATGCTTTCCAACTGAGAAATAGATTTTTTCTCTTTCGTGTAACAATGTGTTATTATTCAGAAAACCATCAAAAATCCATTTTTAAAAAACTGCCTCTACCCATGACAGAAGGTGTCCTAGAGATCATCCCAAGTCAAGCAGATTTGCATTGCCATGAGTGACTTCATGACTTCATTTATTTATTTTTTTTGTATCTGGAGCACAGAGAAGTCAGAATTGACCTAATAGGATACCACACATAAGAAGTGTGAATGAAATACAGCATCGATACAGATGGTAGCTCTAAATAACCTCATCTCCTTCTCTTGTTACACTTTCACATGTGATGCTATTCTGTTTCTTGCCTTATGCAGACAAAAGCCACTCCAGGACACAACCACATCTCCTGGAGGTTTCTCACACTTTAATTGTACCCAAGTCATGGTAAATCAGTGCTGCTGGCAAAATCCTTAGACTGTCTTCACTACTGCCACAAACTTCACAAGAGTTTGTGTGCTGTATTACTGCAGGAAATGCAGAAAGAAAAAAAAAAAAGAAAAAAAAAACCACAAATGACTGCATTTTCATAACAGGAAATAATCCCTCAGGTCTCCTGTCCTTTCCCACATTGTACTGCATACTTCTGAACAATTAATTCTACTATCTGACCCATCCCAAGAGAATTATTTTATACATATTCAATTTATCCCACATCACAAAATCCTACTTTGGTAAAAGGAAACCCTTCCCCCCCCCCCCCCCCCCCTCCCACCCACTGCCTTCTCCATGGTGGTTCTGCTCTGCCACCAACAGCTCAAACATGAGCTCATCTGTGATTGTTTGTGCATTGTGCCACTCTCTGACCTTCTACCAGGGGAAAAGAAATGCAAGTCAGCAGAATGAGCAAAGCTCTGTCTCAGAAATCTGAACACAACAAGAAAAGAATTGTCTGCTGTGGCCTCACTTCTTTGTTTAGGCAGTTTCTTCAGCGACATACAAAAGGTTAAAAAACAAAACCTGATGCCAGCAGGACGAATGCTGAGGGCAGGAGACACTATGCTGAAGTTGTAAGTTATGTCCTCTCACTGAGGCCACAGAGCACAAAATAACCTACCACTGCATCCTGTCCTCTCACCATCCTTGTGCTCATGGTCTCTTCTGCAACAGCATTTAAGAACTGGAAGGCAAAGTTGGCTCTATTTTCTGTTTTCGTCAGGATCTCACAGCCTCTCATCAGATCCTGTGTGGATGGATCCCATCTGGATCTTGTTTCTACATGTCTCACCAGAGGGGAAAAAAAAAAAAAAAAAAAGTGCTGTAAGATGGGAGACTGTAGCTCTGCTCACTACATATTCAATGTCCTGTTTCATGTTTTCCTGAAATACAGGATTTTAATAATAGTCTATATATAAAATGAATGTGTATAAAATGAATTATAGGGGTCAAAGCAAAAGAAACAGATCTCTCATTATGAGCTGGACAATATTAAGGCTCACAATACTAATTTTGGCTATAGAGCTCCAGATATCAGTTTGTAGAGTACAGGAGTGCTGAGAAAGAGAGGAAACAGCAAATAAAGTTAATGAAATGTATTCATCACATCTATAAAGTTACCAAATACTGTGCCGTACTGAAGTTTAAATTAGAAAGATACAATCAAATGCAAAATAAAGTTTTCTCAGGTTATGTAAGAGCATTTGTTCACCTGAGAAAAAGAAAAAAAAAACAAAAACAAATCAAGCAGTTAGGACAAGAAGTATTGAACAGCTGTATTGTAGCATTTCCTCTTTAGCATTGCCCTCAATTTCCTACTCGAGTTTACCTTGGCAGTGCTGAGGAGAGAATTGTTTGATCGCCTACTGGATTTATACTGTGTTATTAAAGAAGTCCCTCCAGCCTAACCTGCAGTTCTTTCCATGCAGAAAACAAGCATATCTTACCTTGGTTATTTTTTGTTCAGCTGCCGTATTTGACTGACAATATGCCTTTAACTATAAAAATAATCACAAAGTAAACACTTCATCTTAAAATATAAACACAGGGATGAATGTATTTGCCTACTTGGGTTACTCAAAAGAATTCTTTTGGGAGAAAGAAATGTTAATATGATTAATTGAAATGTTAGTACAAAGATGAAGAAAGCTGAAGAAAGCAGAGGAAGAACATCTGTATGTTCTTGTAAGATGACACTGCTGGCTAATTAAACTGATCTGGTATTCATTTAACTATTTCTGGTGAAAGACACATCATTTCTTCACTTTTTATAAGCTCTGTGCAAAGCCGTATAGGGCACAATGTTCAAAGCTTTTGTTATTTTTAAGAGATGAAACCGTGTTACCGGGAAGCAGCTCCTAACCCAGCTGCAGAGCTTGGAGGAAACTTTGTGTTACTTGCTGCTTTTCAAAGCTAATTTAAGCAAAGAAAATGACTCGAGATTATCTCCGTTTTGTACTACAGTGATAAAAAACCGTCTCAGGAACACGAATCCGATGCCACTGTGGCGATGCCGTCAGAAACATAATTGCAATATAGAAGTAAAAATAAAAATCTTACTGTTCAGCTCTTGACACAATCCCCAAACTCAGAGATTACAGTCCTGTATAAACGTCATTTTACATCTGAGATAAAAGAAACTCCAAAGGACAAAACTACCCTCTCTCCCCAGCACCGTGGTTAAGAAACCGAGTGCCGCGAACACCAATTTTTACCAAAATCACACTTTTTTGAGAAGGAAGAAACACAAGCCGAGATACAGCACGCCGGGCGGCGGGGCGGGGAGGACTCCGCAACGCACCAATCAGCGCCCGCTGCGCTGCTATAAATAAGGGCGCCTCGGCCGCAACCGCCGGTCCACACCGCGCAGCTCCGGCATGTCTGAGACCGCACCGGCACCCGCTGCTGAGGCAGCGCCCGCCGCCGCCCCGGCTCCGGCCAAGGCGACCGCTAAGAAGCCGAAGAAGGCGGCGGGCGGCGCCAAAGCCCGCAAGCCCGCGGGCCCCAGCGTCACCGAGCTGATCACCAAGGCCGTGTCCGCCTCCAAGGAGCGCAAGGGGCTCTCCCTCGCCGCGCTCAAGAAGGCGCTGGCCGCCGGCGGCTACGACGTGGAGAAGAACAACAGCCGCATCAAGCTGGGGCTCAAGAGCCTCGTCAGCAAGGGCACCCTGGTGCAGACCAAGGGCACCGGCGCCTCCGGCTCCTTTCGGCTCAGTAAGAAGCCCGGGGAGGTGAAGGAGAAGGCTCCTAGGAAGCGAACGTCAGTGGCCAAGCCCAAGAAGGCAGCAGCCAAGAAGCCCGCGGCTGCTGCCAAGAAGCCCAAGAAAGCAGTGGCAGTGAAGAAGAGTCCCAAGAAAGTGAAGAAGCCAGCAGCTTCTGCCACCAAGAAGTCGGCAAAGAGCCCTAAGAAGGCAGCCAAGGCTTCCAAGCCCAAAAAGGCGGTGGCTGCCAAGAGCCCGGCCAAGGCAAAGGCAGTGAAGCCAAAAGCTGCCAAGCCCAAGGCGACCAAACCCAAGGCAACCAAAGCAAAGAAGGCAGCCCCCAAGAAAAAGTAAACCCCTGACCTGCTGCTTTTCAACCCAACGGCTCTTTTAAGAGCCACCCAAGATTTCCCCAAAAGAGCTGAACACATTTTTATTCAGTTCTGTGATGAAATGTTACCGGTGTTTTTTAATTTTCACATGCAAGCACATCTAGTACATGCTGAAGGACTTCAAAGGCTTGTAATAGCATCAAAAATTGCCTTAAATAATTGCAATAACATAGGGGGCAGTTGACGCCTGAAGAATCACTTACAGATTAGTTAGGTACTTAAGGGGCTGAAGTCTCTTTTCTTTTATAGGAAGCACAAACATATAGCAGGCACTTAAATGCTTTTGTAATCATATCTGACTACGGGAGAGGAGAAATAAGTCAAAGGCAGGGAAAGAGTGCTTGTGTACAGCCAGACTAAGCAAATAGTACCAAACATGGGGAAGACACAGGGAAATAAAAAAAGTACTAACATGGTCACAAAGAATTAAACTTAAAAAATACCTGCATTAACGAATTTAGTACCACCTTTCCAAAAAGTAAGTTAAGTCATAGACTGCAATTAATAAATTAAGATAAAGGAATTCAGCTCTTTTGCCTGAATTTGTAGGTGGCTCTGAAAAGAGCCTTTGGGTTTCTCCACACACTGTCCACAGCTTTCTCACTTGGCCTTAGCCTTGTGGCTGTCGGTCTTCTTGGGCAGCAGCACGGCCTGGATGTTGGGCAGCACCCCACCCTGCGCGATGGTGACCTTGCCCAGCAGCTTGTTGAGCTCCTCGTCGTTGCGGATGGCCAGCTGCAGGTGGCGGGGGATGATGCGCGTCTTCTTGTTGTCGCGGGCCGCGTTGCCCGCCAGCTCCAGGATCTCGGCCGTCAGGTACTCCAGCACGGCCGCCAGGTACACCGGGGCGCCGGCGCCCACCCGCTCCGCGTAGTTGCCCTTGCGCAGCAGCCGGTGCACGCGGCCCACGGGGAACTGCAGCCCGGCCCGCGACGAGCGCGACTTGGCCTTGGCGCGCGCCTTCCCGCCCTGCTTCCCGCGGCCCGACATCGCAGCCACTCGCTCCCACGAAGAAACCAACAGCTCGCAGCAAAGCGCTCTCCCATCGCGCCCGCCCGCTTATATTCAGTTCGGGCGGAGCGGAGGTGCGCCGTCTGATAGGCTGAGCGGGAGGCGCAGTGCGTGCAGCCAATGGGCGAGCGAATCGAAGGGCCTCCAATGGTGAAGCGCGTGTGGTGGTGACGTCACAGGGCCGAACTTACCGCCAATGGCAACGCGGCGCTGCGGAGCTGCTGCTTTGCATAGCGCCGCTATAAAAGCGGCTCCCGCGGTCGGCTGCTTCAGTTCGCTCGCTGCGAGAGTGGCGGTGGAGTGTTGTTTTTGAGTGCTTGTGTGGTGTTCAGCATGCCCGAGCCGGCCAAGTCCGCGCCCGCCCCCAAGAAGGGCTCCAAGAAGGCGGTCACCAAGACCCAGAAGAAGGGCGACAAGAAGCGCAAGAAGAGCCGCAAGGAGAGCTACTCGATCTACGTGTACAAGGTGCTGAAGCAGGTGCACCCCGACACGGGCATCTCGTCCAAGGCCATGGGCATCATGAACTCGTTCGTCAACGACATCTTCGAGCGCATCGCCGGCGAGGCGTCGCGCCTGGCGCACTACAACAAGCGCTCGACCATCACGTCGCGGGAGATCCAGACGGCCGTGCGGCTGCTGCTGCCCGGCGAGCTGGCCAAGCACGCGGTCTCCGAGGGCACCAAGGCGGTCACCAAGTACACCAGCTCCAAGTAGAGCGGTCCTGATCCTTATTTTGAACCCAAAGGCTCTTTTCAGAGCCACCCACTCTTTCAGTAAAAGAGCTATAGCACTTGATAGTTGTTGGTACACTGTAGTTTTTGTGTCTTCAAAAGAGCAAAATAAGCACGAGTACAATGTTAACTGGCTGAGAGTACTTGCTTTATGCAACATTTTACAGTATTTTCAGGTGAGCATGTTTATCTCAGACTGGTAAAGATGCCTTGAGTCTAATGAACTGTCTTGTTTGTGGGATGCTACCAACCAGTACCGATGTTCTTAGCAATGGTTGAAGTGAATTTTTGTGTAAATGATTTCTACATTTTCTTCTCTTGCATGAGTGAAAATCTTGTCAATTGGGCACCGCTAAGGCATGGAGAATGTAAGATTGCTGTAGGAATATTAACAAAGAGTTTAAGGGATAGAAGCACCACCATCAGCTTTCTTTCAGGAGAGAGAAAAAGCCAATAGGGTTATTTCATTGTACTGTCCCATCGGTACTGCGCTGCTCTACCCATGGCACCGAGCACACTGTCCCCCACGGCCCCGATCCTCAGCTCTCACCTATTCTCCTCAGCCCCCACCGCTCCGCGTTGCAGCTCCAAGGAGGGACGGGACGGGACGGGACGGGCAGGAGAGCGGTGCCCGCGGGACGTGTAGTGGTCGAGGCGAGGCGGACCTGAGTGAGGACTGCACGCCTCTCCTCGGCCCAAGAAGGGGGCGGGGCAAGGGGGCGGTAGCGCTAGACTCGGAGGAGAGCGGAGCCTTACCGAGGGCGGGTGTCGGAAGGCGGGGTCGGGAAGCAGCCCGGCAACGCTCGCACTGCGCGAAGCGGCGGCTGCTACCCGCGCTTGGAGCGGTGCTGCCGCGGCCCTGAGCCGATAAGGGGCTCCTCAATAGCAGCGAGCACGGACGTGAAAAGCGGGCTCTGACTCCAGCCCTGCTTCTGCTGGAGGGCGGAGCGGGGAGTAGGGAGAGTCTGAGGCAGGGACAGCGGGACTGCGCTATTCTCCCGTCACGCTCTACGCCGCTATTCGTGCGAGGCGGCTCTCAGGTTTCTCCTGAAACGACGGTGGAGCCGGCAGCGAAAAGGCGTCCGTGGTGGGCTGGCTCAGCGCGCAGAAGAGCGGGCGGATTGGACGAGACGGGAGGGGAAGGGCTCGGCGGCTTCAGCTGCCGAGGGGGCGGGGCGGGGCGGGGTTCCCGCCAGCGAAGAGCGGGCTTTTCGAATTGCCAGGCTCGGCCAATGACAGACCGCCTCCCGGGAGCGTCCAATCGGCAGCGAGCGTGCGGCTATAAATACCGCCGCCGCAGAAGGCTTGCTGCTGTTCCTTTGCCGAGAGCAGGGAGTGTACTGTCGAGTGCTGTGCGATGGCGCGCACGAAGCAGACGGCGCGTAAGTCGACGGGCGGCAAGGCGCCCCGCAAGCAGCTGGCCACCAAGGCGGCCCGCAAGAGCGCGCCGGCCACGGGCGGCGTGAAGAAGCCGCACCGCTACCGGCCCGGCACGGTGGCGCTGCGCGAGATCCGCCGCTACCAGAAGTCCACGGAGCTGCTGATCCGCAAGCTGCCCTTCCAGCGCCTGGTGCGCGAGATCGCGCAGGACTTCAAGACCGACCTGCGCTTCCAGAGCTCGGCCGTCATGGCGCTGCAGGAGGCGAGCGAGGCTTACCTGGTGGGGCTCTTCGAGGACACCAACCTGTGCGCCATCCACGCCAAGCGCGTCACCATCATGCCCAAGGACATCCAGCTCGCCCGGCGCATCCGCGGGGAGCGCGCCTGAGGCTGCTGTCCTTTCTCTGCCAAACCCAAAGGCTCTTTTAAGAGCCACTCCATCTGCAGTAAAAGGAGCTGTTGACACTGATTCATAATGAAATGCTATGCTGCAATTTTGTTTTTTTTTTTTAATATTCAAAATGTCTTTACATATTGCAAAATATAACTCCAAGTATCACACGGGATGCTGTGCTGACTTCACATTTAAAATTCAAGATCAGTTAACTAAAAAGCTCCATTTAGAATCAGAATCACTCAGATTAAAAAAGACCCTAAGGATCAACAAGTCCAACCATGACCTAACCATACTACCCTAGCTCTAACAACCCTCTACTGAATCATGTCCCTGAGTACCACATCCAAACATTTTAAACACATCCAGGGATGGTGACTCAACCACCTGCCTGGGCAGTCTATTCCAGTGTTTAATATAACCCTCTCTCTAAATCTTTTCCTGATATCCAACCTAAACCCAAACTTACCCTGGTGCAACTTGAGGCTATTTCCCCTCATCCTGCAGTGAGATCAGCCCTGCTCTTGCTGTAAGCACCTTTCAGGTATTGGAAGAGAGCAATAAGGACTGCCCTCAGCCTCATTTTCCCCAGACTGAACTCCCCCTGTTCTTTCAGTCTCTCCTCCTAGGGCATATTATCCAAGCTCTTGACAAGCCTTTCATATACTTGCAACAGATCTGAGTCTGATTACATGCCAGAAGATAGCCTTGTTTACACACTAGAAGGTAGCCTCTATTCCTCATGCTGAGGCAATACAGTAAGGAGCTAGTATTGCATGTGGGTATCACAAACTGATTATTTACTTTAATCACTTTTCCCATACTATTCAGTGTAAAAGATACTTTTTAATAGTGAAACAAAGTAACTAGCAGAATTAAGAAACATTAGAAACAAGCAACACACCTAAGCACTTCACACTTAGTGACTGGTTGCAAGTGACTGGTTGCAAGTGTCAACAGCTCCTTTTACTGCAGATGGAGTGGCTCTTAAAAGAGCCTTTGGGTTTGGCAGAGAAAGGACAGCAGCCTCAGGCGCGCTCCCCGCGGATGCGCCGGGCGAGCTGGATGTCCTTGGGCATGATGGTGACGCGCTTGGCGTGGATGGCGCACAGGTTGGTGTCCTCGAAGAGCCCCACCAGGTAAGCCTCGCTCGCCTCCTGCAGCGCCATGACGGCCGAGCTCTGGAAGCGCAGGTCGGTCTTGAAGTCCTGCGCGATCTCGCGCACCAGGCGCTGGAAGGGCAGCTTGCGGATCAGCAGCTCCGTGGACTTCTGGTAGCGGCGGATCTCGCGCAGCGCCACCGTGCCGGGCCGGTAGCGGTGCGGCTTCTTCACGCCGCCCGTGGCCGGCGCGCTCTTGCGGGCCGCCTTGGTGGCCAGCTGCTTGCGGGGCGCCTTGCCGCCCGTCGACTTACGCGCCGTCTGCTTCGTGCGCGCCATCGCACAGCACTCGACAGTACACTCCCTGCTCTCGGCAAAGGAACAGCAGCAAGCCTTCTGCGGCGGCGGTATTTATAGCCGCACGCTCGCTGCCGATTGGACGCTCCCGGGAGGCGGTCTGTCATTGGCCGAGCCTGGCAATTCGAAAAGCCCGCTCTTCGCTGGCGGGAACCCCGCCCCGCCCCGCCCCCTCGGCAGCTGAAGCCGCCGAGCCCTTCCCCTCCCGTCTCGTCCAATCCGCCCGCTCTTCTGCGCGCTGAGCCAGCCCACCACGGACGCCTTTTCGCTGCCGGCTCCACCGTCGTTTCAGGAGAAACCTGAGAGCCGCCTCGCACGAATAGCGGCGTAGAGCGTGACGGGAGAATAGCGCAGTCCCGCTGTCCCTGCCTCAGACTCTCCCTACTCCCCGCTCCGCCCTCCAGCAGAAGCAGGGCTGGAGTCAGAGCCCGCTTTTCACGTCCGTGCTCGCTGCTATTGAGGAGCCCCTTATCGGCTCAGGGCCGCGGCAGCACCGCTCCAAGCGCGGGTAGCAGCCGCCGCTTCGCGCAGTGCGAGCGTTGCCGGGCTGCTTCCCGACCCCGCCTTCCGACACCCGCCCTCGGTAAGGCTCCGCTCTCCTCCGAGTCTAGCGCTACCGCCCCCTTGCCCCGCCCCCTTCTTGGGCCGAGGAGAGGCGTGCAGTCCTCACTCAGGTCCGCCTCGCCTCGACCACTACACGTCCCGCGGGCACCGCTCTCCTGCCCGTCCCGTCCCGTCCCGTCCCTCCTTGGAGCTGCAACGCGGAGCGGTGGGGGCTGAGGAGAATAGGTGAGAGCTGAGGATCGGGGCCGTGGGGGACAGTGTGCTCGGTGCCATGGGTAGAGCAGCGCAGTACCGATGGGACAGTACAATGAAATAACCCTATTGGCTTTTTCTCTCTCCTGAAAGAAAGCTGATGGTGGTGCTTCTATCCCTTAAACTCTTTGTTAATATTCCTACAGCAATCTTACATTCTCCATGCCTTAGCGGTGCCCAATTGACAAGATTTTCACTCATGCAAGAGAAGAAAATGTAGAAATCATTTACAC